TGGCCTCCCAAAGTTCTGGGATTAACAGGCATGAACCACCATGCCTGGCCTTTTCACCGTCCAAATTTTTAAAACTGTTTTTTTACTTGCTAAATATCTTTCTGTCATATGTTTTCCAAAAGTGATGTATTGTTATTGAAGTGTTATCAAAAGGAAGGTAGTGCTTTTTTTGTTTTGTCTTCCTTTTTTTTTTTTTTTGAGACTTGAGTCTCACTCTGTTGCCCAGGCTGGAGTGCAGTGGTGCAACCTCGGCTCACTGCAACCCTTGCCACCTGGGTTCAAAGCGATTCTCCTGTCTCAGTCTCCTGAGTAGCTGGGATTACAGGTGCTTCCCACCACGGCCAGCTAATTTTTGTATTTTTAGTAGAGACGGAGTTTCACTATGTTGGCCAGGTTGGTCTCAAACTCCTGACCTCAGGTGATCCACCTGCCTTGGCCTCTCAAAGTGCTGGGATTACTGGCGTGAGCCGCTGTGCCCAGCTGGCACTGCATTTTTTAGTGACAAGATTAAATAACTTGACAGAATGGTGAGCTCATCTTCTGAACTCTTACAATTTACCTAATGTCAAATTTCTAGAAAAAAATTATCTAAATCTAAAAGTTAGTATGATATACCATAACATTAATTGTGAATCCCTGAGGGGGCAGCTATAAAGATAAAATGGAGTTTAGGATCCCCACCACACATAACACAGACACTTGTGATTGAGTGTGCATTGGCACATGTACACCTGTGTGCTCGCCTCTCCTCTCTTCTTTGCTTCCCTCCATCACCAGTATAGGTTTGTTGCTTTGAATTGGTGAAGAATGGGAAGGAGAGTCCTTTTGGTGACAAGAGAGCAAACTGGTTTTACTTAGCTCACCAAAACATTATTTTGATTCTTTTATTTTCAATATAAAGCTATTGCTGTAAGTGTGAGCATGTCCGAAGGGAACACCATGGGATAGTAGTGAATTGAGGCTGATAATCCAGTTTTGAAGCTTAAGTCTGCAATTCCTGGACTAATTTGGCTGCTCTGTTTTTGGTGGCTTTGTTAGGACCATTTTCAGATCACTTCATTTTCCTGTATGATAATTGTATTAATATTCCATAACAAGATTAATCTGGGCCAAGGGCTTTCCTGTGAAAGTACTATTTTCATGATAGGAGAAAAATAGAACAGCATGCCAAATGTGCAATTTTGTTATCCCATCCTTAGGTAAGTGAGTTTAGACAGCCCGAGCTAAATACCTGTATTTGCAAAAGCACCTCCTACCCCCATGCTTTCCTTTTATCTTTTAAAATTGTTTGTGAAGATCTTTTTTTTAAAATACAGAGACGAGTTCTCACTGTGTTGTTTGGTTGGGTTTCAAACTCCTAGGCTAAAGGTTTCTCCCACCTCTGCCTTCCAAAGTGCTGGGAATGCAGGTGTGAGCCACTTTGTTCAGCAGCTCAAGTTCTTATTCTTTTAACTCTGTTCTCCCTTACTGCCTCCCACTTTCACTCCTTAATCCCCCTTCTTTGTTTAATAGAAGGAGCCTTTGTCTTGAGTAGTCTCCAAGTAGAGTATTTTGGAGAGACTTTGAATAAATCCTGACCCAAGCCTTATCACAGCACTTGGGCATTGAGCTTACCTTCATTCTGCTGTTCAGTAGATATGGAATCCCTGCCCCTCTTGATTAAAGCTACACAGCCCATAAGAAAACATCCATTGAGCTGCCTTCGTTACTTTCACTTGATCAATTTCAGTGTATTGTGGTAGAGGTCTTTTTGATATTCCTTTTTAGACTATATGATCTTTGGGAATGTTTAACACTGCTGTGCCAAAGACCAAGAGAGGGCTTTGTATTCTAACTCATTTGTTCTCTGCTTTTTTCTTTTTAATTATTAGTAGTTAACTCTAAATGAAAGTATAGAGCTGTTTAGTTTGAGCAAGGTTCAAGGAACACCATTTGTTGGCTTCTGCTTTCTTTTCCCTTCTTCCCCTTCTTTCCACTTTACTGTGGCATCATGATTCTTCCTTCCTGTATTCTTGGTCATTCTCCCAGTGCCTCACTTTAGCCCTACAATGGAGATTTATCTGTTCACCAGTAACTGCAGTGGTATCAGTTTCAGTACATCAGCCTCCGTCTTCCTTTGTTTGAATGGATTGTTTAACGTGCTGACTGTCTTGCCTCTTTCTGCTTAAGCATCTTTCCTGGGGCCATTTTGACTTGCTGCTTACACAACGATATGTTCTTTGGGTTTGTGATACTTCATATTGTTGAAAGCAGCAAAAGATAGTAATGGAAATAAGATTTTTGGTGTGTGCCAGACCAAATACTATCTCTTATTTATTACTCTCAGTTATTCTGTGAGTCAGATGTTATTATCCCATTTTAGAGATAAGTAAATTAAGAGAGTGGCTAAACCTAAAGTTCCAGAGTTAGTAAGTGACATGACTGGATTCAAACCCAAGAGAGCCAGACTTCAAAATGAATGCAATGACCTCTACCGAGTCTGAAGGATACTGACCCAGTGAACCAGTCATGGTTCTGTTTCTAGGAAACATTTAGGTTCTGGTTCTCAGGGGGATCTTTATAGTCCTGTATTTGCCAAAACACCTCCCACCCCCATGCTTTCTTTTTACCATTTAAAATTGTTTGTGAAGATCTTTTTTTAAATGTAGAGACGGGCTAATTTAGGGTTTATTTCTGAACCACTTGGTTTTCATTCATAAGTTATAATGTTGTTGGTAGTTCTTAATATTAGTTTAACAGAACTAGGACTGGTAGCACAGTGGGCATTTATAATTTGAATATCTTCCACTATTAAGAATCACTGTGTTAGAGAAGTGGTAAGAAACTTAAAAACTAGGCCGGGTGTGGTGGCTCATACCTGTAATCCCAGTGCTTTGGGAGGCCGATGCAGGCGGATCATGAGGTCAAGAGTTCGAGATCAGCCTGGCTAACATGGTGAAACCCTGTCTCTACTAAAAATACAAAAAATTATCCAGGCATGATGACATGTTCCTGTAATCCCAGCTACTCAAGAGGCTGAGGCAGGAGAGTCACTTGAACCCGGGAGGCGGAGGTTGCGGTGAGCCGAGACCCTGCTATAGCATTCCAACCTGGGCAACAGAGCGAGATTCTGTCTTAAAAAAAAGAAAATAAAAAACTAGAAATTTGTGAGGCATCTTGGAAAAAGCACTCTAAACTATATTAAGACTATTATAGACATGCTAAATTCTCTGTAATCACAAAATTTTAAGAGATCTTATAAAAATATTAGAGAAAGAAAGTATAATTTCTTTACTTAAAGTATATAGACAGATTTTTAGAGCTATTCTTAGAAAAATGTTTAAAGACATATTTGTTAGGAATGGTCAAGGTACGACTTTTTCTAAAAATTGGACTAGATGACCTCTCAAAATCCTTTAACTCTGTGGTTCAATTCCTGTGTCACAGACTGGCTTCATAGATAGGAGAGGGATAAAATTAAAAAGGATCTCATTTTCATCTGAGACTCATTTCAGGGTTGCTATTTCTGAATTAAAGAGGAAGTTTCCCTAACTTCTTTCTAATAATTTTTATTCTCCCTGTTGTCTTGAGAGGATCTCACCTCATTTTCATTGAGCATATTTCTTGTACTTCTGTGAAATAGATATTTCACCTCTTATGCACTCACTTTCCATGAGGAGATAGTAACTATGGCATTTCAAGGTCACTGACTGAATGGGACTGGAAAATAGGATCTTTAAGCCAGTTGAAGTAACAACAGATTTCTGTATGGCAAGCATGGTAGTCATTTTCATTATATATGTTTGCACACAAGCTTGAGCCTTTTAATTGGAATATCTATTTTTTTAAACCTCCATTGTGGAGTATTACATCTCTTTTTAAAAGGCCATTTTATTTTGGAAACCCACCTCATTATGTAGGTTGGCCATAGCTGTAGTTTCCTGGCTTTCCAGTATTGGCTCAGGAGGGTTAATGTGTGGAGGGCGACATGGCTGTGGCATGACTGCCATGCTGAAAATATTCACTTTTAAAGGAGAATTTGCTAAGTGGAACTGACATCTGCCTGAGTTGAGTAGAAAATCTGTTTGATGAGGACTTAAAAATGAGATGCAGTTTTTGAAGGACTTTGGAATTCCTAAATAATCTTGTTTATTGCAGCTTTCTACTAGTTGTATTTGCTGGCTAAAAGAAAAGCAAATGGAGCAGAGGAAAGTAAGTGAAAATGTGTGTAGGGTTTTTTGTTTGTTTTTGTTTTAGATAAGAGAAATGCTGGGGTTTTATTCTTGAAATTAAAATTGGGCCAGTAGCCTGACAGCAGAGCAGTACGCTGCCCCTGCTAACTCTGTGATCATTGCTGCTCTATCAAAGCCAGTTATCTGTTGTTTACTAGATTTGGCAGGATTGTAGCAACCTCTTTTAAGTCAAAATAGAGGCCCTAATATAGTGCCCTTGGAAGAAGGAAATATTGTGGATATTGACTAGATGGACTGCTTATCTAGTAATTTCTTTTTGTTTTTGCTTTGCTACTTATGCATAGGCTCTGGACTCAGACGGAGCTCAAATTCTTGATCTACCATTTATTAGCTGTGTGACCTTGGATGAATTATTTAACCTCTAGCTTCAATTTCTTTATCTATAAAAAAGATGTTATTAATAGCACCCACCTATTGGGTTGTTATGAGGATTAAAGGAGATAATGCACCTAAGTGCTTAACACAGCGCTGCTGCGTGCACAGTAGGCTCTGAATAAATGTTAGCTGTTAATGTTTGTTATTTGTTTCCAGAGCTTTATTCTTTGTTCACATTTTTTTGTTGTTGTTTTGAGACAGAGTCTTGCTCTGTCTCCCAGGCTGGAGTGCAATGGTGTGATCTCAGCTCACTGCAACCTTTGCCTCCCAGGTTCAAGTGATTCTTCTGCCTCAGCCTCCCAGGTAGCTGGGATTTCAGGTGTGTGCCACCACACCTGGCTATTTTTTTTTTTTTTTTTTTTGCCAATCTCAGTTTTTAATCATGGCAGGGCCTCACGCATGCACACGTGCACACACACGCACACGTGCACACACACGCACACACAGGCTTCGGATTTTGTTGAAAGCTGTGATGTTGACACTCTGCATGTGCTCCTCAAACTTGGTGATTTCCTCCTCCAGCAAGTCTGTCCCCACCTTGTCATCCTCCACCACACGCTGAATCTGCAGCTTCAGTGTATATTAGCCCACAGGCACCAGCTTGGAGGCTCCCCAGACCAGCCAGTCCAGCTGGATGGAGCGCACATAGGCCTCCAGCTGGGCCATGTCGGTGTCATCAGCCCAAGTGTTGATGTCCAGCAGGATGGAGGACTTGGCCACCCGCGCAGGCTTCTTGGTCTTCTTTTCCGTGTACTGCAGCAGCTGCTCCTCCCACAGCTGGGCTGCCTCCTTGTCCTTCTCCTCATTGTCGCTGCCAAACAGGTCAATGTCATCATCCTCATCCTCTGCTGGTGTGGCTGGCTTCTTGGTTGAGGGCTCCACTTGGAGCATGGGAGACACGTGCTGGGTCTGCGGGGCTGTAGCCCGGTGGCCTGATGGCCGGGTGAGCTCTTCTCCAGCACATTCAGCCAGGCCTCCAGCTTGGAGACAGCCTGCTGCAGCTCCTGCACCACGCCACACAGGCTTGTTCTCCACTTCCAGACTGGCGATCCGGACAAGGAGCTTGCTGTGGTCTCTGCTGGGGCTGCTGGAAGCCCCAGGGCCTGAGCTTCTGGCCAGGGATTTCTGGATGTTCTCTCTGGCTCTGGCAGTGTCACAGAGGATCACGCTGGCGCCATTCTCTTGGCGGGAAACACCAGCTACAGGCCCGTTCATCTGCTCTTAGAATCTCCTTTCCGCATCATCGTATTTGAACTTGTAGAACCAGATCTTCTCATGTACTAGGAAGTTTGTAGCCATTTTTCTCATGCCAGCCAAGGACGCGGTGACCAGGGAGGAGGAATGGGCGGATGCAGGACACCTGAGGAAAGAGACTAATTTTTGTATTTTTAGTAGAGACCGGGCTTCACTATGTTGGCCAGGCTGGTCTGAAACTTTTGACTTCGTAATCCATCCTCCTCGGCCTCCCAAAGTGCTGGGATTGTAGGTGTGAGCCATTGTACCCAGCCTGTTTTTTTTTTTTTTTTTTTTTGGAGATGGAGTCTAGCTCTATTGCCCAGGCTGGAGTGCAGCAGCACGATCTCAGCTCACTGCAATCTCTGCCTCCCAGGTTCAGGTGACTCTCCTGCCTTAGCCTCCCGAGCAGCTGGTCTTGAACTCCTGACCTCAAGTGATCCACCCACCTTAGCCTCCCAGAGTGCTGGATTGCAGGTGTGAGCCAACGTGCCTGGCCCACATTTTGTTTTTATGTTATGAGTATTATATAGTAAAAAAGGAGAAGAGGTTATTGATAGTCTTTTAAAAACTGATCTCAGTGATATAGCAGGAAAACCACTGGATTAGGAGATAAGGCTTTTAAGTTCTAATCCTGACTGGCTGTGCCCTTAACTAGCTGTATGAGACTGCGCAACATTTATAATTTTCTTCTCAATTAAATTGAGGTAGCTGTACTAGATGTATCTGACATGCCTTTCATTGCTCAAGTCATGCGACATTTACCTTTAATTAGAAAGCTTTGGTTTTGGGATCTCTTTGTTTTCCCATAGACTTTAACCTTGTTTCCTTTCCTGTTGCTCAGCAGGAATTGGACCAGAGTTGGCCAAAGCTAGGATGAGAAGAGGAGGTAGGAACCTCACCAAAGTTGGTTGAAATTAAGTTATTGACAGGTGGGAAGAAGTATTACTGTGACTCTCTGGTTGTTCCTTTGTAAGAGTTGAAGGAAAGTAATGAGTCAGGTCTTAATAATAGTACCTCTGTGTTATTTCCTCCCCCCTTATTATCTTTTGTCAGAATTGATTAGCAAAGTGCATTTACCCAAGTATTTTCAGTGTTACTGTTTGGATAATCTAAATGATCTTGTTCCTTTTTTTTTTTTTTTTTTTTTTTTTTGAGTAAGGTTCTCACTCTGTCACCCAGGCTGGAGTGCAGTGGCACAGTCTTGGCTCACTGCAACCTCGACCTTCTGGGCTTAAGCAGTCCTCCAACCTCAGTCTCCTGAGTAGCTGGGACCCCAGGTCTGCACCACCATGCCTGGCTAATTTTTTGTACTTTTTGCGGAGATAGGGTTTCACCATGTTGCCTAGGCTGGTCTCAAACTCCTGGGCTCAAGCAATCTGCCCGCCTCAGTCTCCCAACATGCTGGAATTACAGGAGTGAGCCACTGCACCCTGCCTTTATTTAGTTAATTTTATCAACCTATGGTCCTAAAGGTAGATTCAGTGAACTTGCCTTTCAATGCTTAAGGACAAGTCCTGTCTTAGTTCAGACTAAGGTTAAATTCAAGGTTGCATTCTGTCAACTTTGTTTCTAATCAGTGGATGATAAGATGATATTTGGAGAGGATTTTTAATATATGTGACTCTTATGGTAGCATTCTGCTACTTAATAAAAACTTTAGACTAAGCACAGTGGCTCACACCTGTAATTCCCGTACTTTGGGAGGCCAAGGTGGGTGGATCACGAGGTCAGGAGTTTGAGACCAGCTTAGGCAACATGATGAAACCCTGTCTCTACTATGAATACAAAAATTAGCCAGGCATGGTGATAGGCGCCTGTAACTCCAGCTACTCGAGGGGCTGAGGCAGAAGAATCACTTGAACTGGAGACAGAGGTTGCAGTAAGCCAAGACCACACCATTGTTCTCCAGCCTGGGCGACAGAGAGAGAGACTCCATCTCAAAAAACATACATACATACATACATACATACATACATACTTTAATCTGTTAGCTTTTTTCCCCCTATTCTTCCGCCATAGTTTTTGTAGATGCTCAGACAAAGGCAGCAGTAGCACATGGATAATCAGGGTTTTTTGTTTGTTTTAACATTTCTTGTTAAAGTGTAATATTCAGCAATGGGGACCAGTCTGTACTCCTCATCTGTATATTAGTCTGTCAATAAATAGGTTGCTCCGACTTTAAATTCTCAGCTTAAATTGTTTCTTTTTTGTATGTAGAATTTATGACCCTCTGTGATGTTGACCCTACCTAAAGCAAATAGAATAACTATGCCAGCAAAATGAAATACTGTAACAACAACAATATGCCTGTGTTTATATAGTGCTCACTGTGTGCCTGATGTGGCATTGAATATATATTTAATAAATAGAGGCAGGATCTTGCTTTGTTCCCCACCTTGTGTTGAACTTCTGGCCTCAAGTGATCCTCCTGCCTCTGCCTCCCAGAGTGCTGGGATTATAGGCATGAGCCACTGTGCTCGCCAGCATTGAATATATTTTTTATTTCATCCTGAGAACAACCTTATGAGCTCTTTTAGTTCATATTACCTTCACTGTGTATGAGAAGAAATCGTACTTTAAGCTGTTAAGCATTTGATTTGCAATAGCTTTGAGGAATTTAGTGTTAAAATATGAAATATTAAAAAAAAGATGTTAAGCAAATTGCCCAAAGTGCAAAACCAGTAAGTGTTGGAGCTTGAATTCCAGACCAGATCTGCCTGAGTTAGGCTTTTCTTTTATGTTCTTATTCACTAAAGCCTCCTTGAACAGAAGTGTGTGTGAGAGTTGGGCACATGCAGCTGGGTCAATTCTATATAAACCCGGTCAGATTCTGAATAGTGTAGATCTGATAAAGTCAATGTGAATTTCCCATCATTCATCGCAGGAGACTTAATGTAGCAAAAAACAGTATCTTGGGAAATGAGATGTTACTGTGGTAGGCACACCGTTTTCTCTCACCTACCTCATTTTTGTTGTTATTGATGGTGGCTATTGCTCTAGTAACTACAAAGGCAGCATTTACTTGACAAGGCGTGCATGCTTAAGGCAGAACACTGACTGCTTTTCATTGCTGGCAAATCCGTACTTCATCAGTACTGGCTACCTGTAAGGAATGTGAGCATGTTGGATTTTAGAACAGGAAAAACACAACTTCCACCTCATTTCACGGTAGAGTTCACTTAGGGATACAGACTTTTTGGTGACAGTGACTGTTACTTTCTGCTTATTAGTTCTGATACTTGCATAATGCTAACCTGGTGGATATTGTCAGATGACAAGCCCTCCTACATGTTCTCTATAAAAGAACTGCTAGTGACAAGCATTTTATTATATTAAAAATTCTACTTGGTACTGTTTTAAGTTAAAGCGTATTTATTATGAAGCCAATATTGTGAAATGTTCTTTTTTTTCTTTTTCCAGAATGTAGCATTTTTTTCTTGTAATAGAATAAGATACAGGCATAGTGTGTAGAATGAGGAGCTATTTGCCCAGATGGACCTTAGTGAAAGTAACTTAAAGAAGCAAATAGATTTTGCTTGTGTTTGGGAAAATGATCTAAGATGGGTGCTGAGACAGGGTTTCACATTGTCCAGGCTGGTCTCAAACTCCTGACCTCGTGATCTGCCTGTTTTGGCCTCCCAAAGTACTGGGATTACAGGTGTGAGCCACCATGCCTGGCCAGGTGGAGGCTAATATTTCAATGTTTGGAACTTAAGTTCAGTTTACTTAAGGGTCTAGAATGGGGTGTCCAATCTTTTGGCCTCTCTGGGCCACGTTGGAAGAATTGTGTTGGGCCACACATAAAAATACATTAACATTAACAATAGCTGATGAGCTAAAAGAAAAAAAATTGCAAATAAATGTGATAATGCGTTAAGAAAGTTTGTGAATTTGTGTTGGGCCGCATTCAAAGCTGTCCTGGGGCGCATGTGGCCTGCTGCAAGCCGGGTGAACAAAGTTGGTCTGGAAGTTTTCTGTATTTTTACTGCAGTGTTCAAAACACAAGCTTTAAAAGCGGGGAAAGGAATTTTGGGTAAGACAGAAAGACAGGTTGGTAAAAGCATACATGGTCAGGAAACTGCAAATGGCTTCTTAAGACCGAAGGGCAATGTCAGTGTGAAGTGGCAGGCGATGGGAAAGGATAGATCAGTAGAGCCCAGACAGTGACGGAGCTTTGTACGTGTTGCTGAGGAGTTCAGATTTGTTTCTACAGATAATGGGGAAACTTCTGATTTTTTTTTTTTTTTAGGTGGACAGTTAGAATCAAGTTTGCTTTTATTAATTCATTTGACAATGTAGAATAGAAGGTAGACTGAAGATTGGGAGACTGTTGTATTCATTGGAGATTCATTCATTGTTAGAAGACTATTGTAATCATTCAAGTGAGAAATAGTGACCTCGGCCAGGTACAGTGGCTTATGCCTGTAATTATAGCACTTTGGGAGGCTGAGGTGAGAGGATCATATGAGGCCTGGAGACAGGGTCTTGCTCTGTTGTTCCTGCTGGAGTTCAGTGGTGTGATCATGGCTCACTGCAGTCTCTAGCTCCTGGGCTTATGATCCTATTGTCTCTGCCTCCCAAGTGGCTGGGACTACAGGCGTGAGCCACTGTGCCAAGCCCAAATTACTTTTTTTTTTGAGATGATGTCTTGCCCTGTCACCCAGGCTGGAGTACAGTGCCATGATCTCAGCTCATTGCAACCTCTGCCTCCCCGGTCAAGCGATTTTCCTGCCTCAGCCTCCCGAGTAGCTGGAACTACAGGTGTACGCCACCATGCCTGGCTAATGGTTATAATTTTAGTAGAGATGGGGTTTCACCATATTGGTCAGGCTGGCGTTGAACTCCTGACCTGAGATGATCCACCTACGTCGGCCTCCTAAAGTGCTAAGATTACAGGCATGAGCCACTGCACCCAGCCTCAAATTACTTTTTATACATTGAAAGATGACGACCTGGAAATTAGTCATGACATTAATTTAGATAATAATACAGTTGAGTGACATAAACCTCAGAGAAGAGGAAGGCTTCCGTGCTATCACTCCACCCACTGGAGTGGAACAACTTTGAGGGAGATAGAATACTGTTATTATATTCTAGTTCCTATAGATAAAGAGTGTTTGCCAAGAAGGTTAACTTCTGTAGCCTAGCTCCTTTGCAGAGAGATGAAGGAACAGCTTCATAGATAGATTTAGTCTTGATTCTCTATGGA